TGCGCAACCAAAGCCCCGCCCTCGCTCCCACAGCCAATAAGGGGTGCCTCCAGCCCAGTCCTGCCCCACCCCGGGTCAAGGGCGGCCCCGCCCCCACCTTGGATTGGTGGTCGGGCGGGGCAGGGCCAGGCCAGGGGTCTCCCACCGCCCTCTTGGGGCACTCAACCAGAGAAGGGGCACCCCAGGTGAACAGAACAGCAGTGCAGAGATGTTTAATAAGGAAGGTGTGCTCAGAGCGGAGGCTCAGATTCATCGCTCTGCTGCACACCCACCAGACAGGGGTCGTATAAAGTTAACAACACATTTAGTAAGAAGTAGTAGAAATGGGGGGGGGGGCCCTGAGAGTAGCTGGGTAAGTGAGGTAAGGCAGCTGTGGGTTCCTCTGCCAGCCAGGCCCAGAACCCGAGCTATGTTCTCAGAGAAAGGCCAGCAGCCGCTCCTTTGTATAGAGAAGGTGCCCTCGGGGTCAAGCCCACATTGGGGGGACCACAGCAGTGCAAAGGGGCTTCCCACAGGACAGATGGCTAAAAATGTCAGGTGAAATGTCACCCAGGAGTTCACACTAGACTTCATGAGGACAAGCTGGTTTCTCAGTGCCACTTGCTGAATAAAAGTTCCAGCCATTTTCAAAGTGCCAGTTGTTCTTTGTCAACGCCAGGTTATGTTGCTTTCTTCCTCTTTGCACGTTTGGCGCAGCCCCTGCCAAACCAGCCCCCTAGGATGGGGGTTGTGCTAAGTGGGGTGTTCAGTTCCTCAGGTGGGGCCTCTTCTCTGCTTCTCCATAGTGATTTCCGAGTGTGGCTGCCTTCCTCACCAGCACGCAGGGGAGTTGCCATGGAGAAGATGGGGTCCTGCCACCTACCAAAAAGGGAAAGCAGTGTCAGGCAGACCTGCGGGGCTCAGAAACCACCCGCCCCAGCACGGGAAAGCTGTCTGAGGTCACCTGCCTTCCCTCCCCTCCCTGTGTCTTAGCTGTGGCTGTTACAGAGCTACAGAAGAGCTGCAGGAGAGGTAACCTCCTTGGGTGGCAACTCACAGGCCAGTGCCCACCCTCTCTGGCCTCCTCAGAACTCAGTGTCTCGTCCAGTCAGTGGGCCATGCACACATAGGGTAGGGTGGCAGCAGTCCAGGGCACCTCCGTCTCCAGGGGTGAATCACTAGCAACCCTGGGCCCCACCTTTCACTCATGGCCAGGGGCAGGTAGACCAGACCCTCTCCCCCTTCCCAGACGGCGAAATGCAGGGAGGGAAGGCCAGCTGACTAGGGAGGTGTGGCCTACAGACTACACCGTGAAGGAATCATGTGTCTGATTGAGATGTAGAACCACAGATTATAAACGTAAGATACAGATAAGCACTGATAAAATGAACTAAGTTAATGTAAAAAAAAAAAAATACAGGACACAATAGGCCCACGTCACAGAACACCACAAACATAACATACAAGAATTGCCAGGCCCAGAGGTGAAGGGATCCTTAATTTCTTGAACCCTTTGATTAAAAGAAGTTATTGATTTCCCCTATAAGACCCTGAAAATTCACAGAGAAAGAAAGTGTAAACTTTTTACTCAATACATAAACCAAGTCTAAATTATCACAAATTCTGAATTAAGACATTTTGTTTAAGCTTCCCCAAGTATGCCAACTCCCAAAACCAAGGACACTGAGATTCTGTCTGACCAGAGTCGCCGAGTTCTTGTCCCCTCAAAGGCCCCTTTCCATCCAGGTTTGTCTGACAGGCAAACAGGAATGTCATGTAGGAGCACACTGGCCATCCCTGCTCCAGGGCTGCAAGGCTTTGGGCACACAGTCAGGCAGAAGTATGTGCGTGTGTGGAGTCTCGCCTCGGCCAGCCAGGAGAGCAGTCCCTCTGGCTGCATCACACTTCAGTCACACCTCAAACAGCACTCTCAACTCAGACCTTCCTCACACTCGGCTCACAGGAGCAGACAGATATGGCCCATCACACAGAGGGGCAGGGATGTGGCGGTGATGCAGCTACATCTACTCACTTGCTGTAGAGCGGGATCTCCAAGCCCAGTTCATCCATGAGGAGCTGCATGACATCATCACACTTCCCATGAAGCTTCAGGGCAGCCCAGTCATCCTTTGGAGTCCACTGAGGACAGGAAAGGTGAGTGAGGCCAACCTTTGTCCTTACAGAGGCCTGTGAACCTCGAGTCACTGGCTCAGTCAGGACTCCCCACAGTCCACCTGGGCCTCTACTAGACTTCCAGGGTTCATGAATGTCCCCATCCCTGTGATTCTTCTGATCTGAGGCCCAGGAATAAGGGTGCAAATCTCAGTGACCAAGTTACCTGCAAGTTCACAATGTAGAGCTTGGGCCGCCGGTTGCGGGGCTTGGTCATGCACCAGAGTCGGGGATACTTCTTTAGAACCTGGAGGATGGATGGACAGACAGACACAGCATGCACGCACACGCACACGCGCGCGCACACACACACACACACACACACACACACACACACACACACAAACCCACGCACACGCACACGCGCGCGCACACACACACACACACACACACACACACACACACACACACACACACAGAACAAGGCTGGAGAAGTGAATCAAATGCCAAGTGGATGGGTTTGGGCAGGCAGGGTAACAATCTTACTTCCTGGGGAGCTCATGGTGTCATCGGCGCTTACCTTCAAGCTGGACCCTAAACACAGGATCGTGTCTGCTTTGCTGGCAGCCTCCGTCGCCGCCTCCCAGTTCAGAGGCTGCCCCAATGTCCCCCTCTCCCCAAAGTGCACAATGGTGTCTCGGAGCTGAGCCCCACACTTGTGGCAGGTCCGGCCTGTCTGGTGTCGGTGGAGAGCGGTGCGTTCTGTCACATCAAACACACGCACATACTCCCTGTTGGGGATGCAGGAGGTGCAGACCTGAGGACAAGAGGGCACAGTGAGTGGGACCCACCTGCTGCGCAGACCCTTTGTCCCCTCAGCACTGCTCACTTCAATGTACATGTTCCCGTGGAGCTCTGAGATGGCTGTACGCGGCAGCCCACTGCGAAGGTGGAGCCCGTCACAGTTCTGAGACACCACGTGTTGCACCTGGAAGGCAGACATGGCAGCAGTCAGGAGGGGGATGGCCAAGAGCTCCCAAGACCCAAGGGTTACCGTAACCCCACAAAGAGCCTCAGAAAGTAAAGCACATGCAGTGTATCCCTGGGGAAGCAGGAGAGCCCTGAGGTGAGCAGTGGGCACCATGTTCTTTCTCTGTGAGTGGCCAAGACAACAAATGTATACACTGTCCCTAGCAGGCTGGGGAGCGACTGTGTGCTTAGGTGAGGGCACACATGGCCACTCTGCCCCAGGTTCATCCCCTCTTGTGTCATTCCATTTCAGGTTGCCAAGGGGCCAGGCAGGTCTACTCCTTCCTCACTTGGTGCTCGGCACATCTCTGGAGGTTTCTGAGAGGCCTCCCCTGTGTCTAGGGCTGTTTCCAAGGCCGTGGGGCAATGCAAGAGAAGCTGGAGGTTGGATCAGAAGAAAAGGGTTCTGGACAGGGGCTGCCCTTTCTTCTTGGAGCACAGTGAGATCAAACAGGAGTCTGACCCACTCTAGGGTGGTCACTCATCAGAGCTGAATGGCACTGAGGTGGGGTTCTGGGTCCCAGGCCTGGTGGATGAGGCGGGCATGGTGTTCTTACCAGCTTTTGCTCATGCAAACGTGTGATGCTCATGTGGGTGAGGGTGGGCTCAGCCTCACTCAGGTCAGCAGCTCTGCTGGGCACAAGGGAAAACAGAGGTGAGGCAGCAGCTAGTCAGGCCCACACAACCCCTTTTCCACCATGCGGGAAGGCTGCTGGGCTGCTCACCTCACACTTCTCCCTTTCTGAAGCAGTGTCCACACTCCATTTGGACCCCGGTAATCTGGGATAGAGGCTGCCTGGACGTTCAGAAAAAAGGTAAGCCCAGTCAAAGGGCATCTCTGTAAGGACTGGCAAAATCCTCTAAAATGGGACATGTTACATTTCAAACTGGCCTATTCCTCCCACAGCTGATTTGCCTGGACCCAAAATGGAGGGTGCCCCAGTAGAGCTCCTTCTTTCTGCCTAAATTTCCCTCCCATGAGGCTCAGCTCACCTTTCCAGGTGCCAAGGAGCCCTGACACCCCCTCACCCAGCCACTCTAGCATTGAGTACAGACCTGAGCTCTGCAGCCACATTTGTTCCCACACTGAGGAGGATTGGCCAGGTTTATCTGTGGCTCCAGGGCCAGGCTCAGTATTCAAAAAATGTTTAGCTAATGGTGGGCCCCGGGGTAGGAGCACTTCTCTGTCCAAATTTTTGGTTTTTTGTTGTTGTTTTATGAGACAGGGTGTCACTGTGTAGTTCAGACTGACCTTGAATTCACTATGTAGCCCAGGCTGGCCTCGAACTCGGGTGATCCTCCTGCCTCTGCCTCCCAAGCGTTAGGATTACAGGTGTGTGCCACCACGCCTTGTCCAAATTCTTAAATCCTGAAGTTCTAGATAGTTCCTATTCTACCTTAACACACACAAGACAGCCTCTGTAGATAAGGTAAACATTATCTAATTTTCCAATTTTCTAATCCAGTGAAACAAACTGATCCCCAAGAGAAGAAAGCAGAAAGTCTCCAGGATATAGACATTCTGCATTCCCTTCTGGCTCCTTACCGTTGCTTAAACTCAGAAAAATACCCGCCCTGACCAGTGATTTGACTGTCATATTCAAGAGAGGACCCTCAAACAGTAAAGCTCAGATCAAACTGGTTAGCCACTCTATGAATTTAGTTGTCACTGCAGGCTTATGCTATTGTTTGTTTGTTTTCTTTTTTTGTGAGATAAGAGTCTCATTACATAGTTCATTCTGGCCTTGAACTCACTATGCAGCCCAGGCTGGTCTGGAACTCACAGTAATCCTCCTGCCTCAGCCTTCCAAGCGCTCGGATTATAGGTGTGCACCACCACCAGCTCAGCTGTCATGAAACAATCACATGACTGGATTTTACATGTGGATGTGGAGAGAGGGACCGAGATGTCCAGCCCCAGGTATTTATGAGCTAGAATAATGATGTTCCTTTCCTATTCTTGCTATTGGACCTTTGTTGTTTGTAGTGCCTCATGTCCACATTCACCTGTAAATCTTAGCCCTTGAGGCCCTGACTCGATGCCACCTCCCTCAGCAAGTTCACAGGAAAGGACCTCCCAGCTTTGAATACAGTATCTTGTCATTTTCATCTGTTTGTTTTGGGGTTGTTTTGAGAGGGTCTTGCCACATTGTGAAGGGTGGGCTTGAATTTGAGATCTTCCCACTTTAGCCTCTGGAAGAGCTGGGATTACAGGCATGAGTCACTATGCCCACCTTTCAGAGTCCATCTGGATTTGTTTGACAGTAACCCCAAAGTTATCCTTGCATTATGCTTACATGTGTGTGACTACTTTCCCTAAGAGCTTTTCTTTTAAAGTACTAGGGATCGAACCCAGGATCTTATGTATACCATCCCTAGACTTTAAAATTTGAGACCGGGTCTTGCTAAATTGCCTGGGCAGGTCTCCACCCTTTGATTCTCTTGCCTCAGTCTCCCAACTAGCTGAGATTATAGGTGTGCACCATCATGCCCAGTTACCTAAGGGCTTCTTTCTTGAGAACAGCAATCACTTAAGTGTTTGCCTCTGTTGGGCCTACATCTGCCTAACACTTCATATTCACTTGTCAGATTATACGGTGAGTTACACTTTCAAAGCTGATCGTGTCCTACAGACCCAGGATAGCTTCTTAAGAGAAAAACCCAGAGCATTTCTCCTCTTTACCAGGTGTATTTGGATTCTTACTGTCTTGTTTTCTACTTACCTTCCTTTCACGTGGGGAAAGCACGATAAGCGGGGAATCGAGAGATGAAAATTCTGAAGGTCATCTCTGTCTTTGACCCATATTAGGTCATGCATTTTTAAAGTTTGCCTTAGCTAAGTTTTAAATTGAGTCTTTCCAAGTATCACTGAAGAAGGAAGAGTTGCTTTAAAGATGAATGAGTCTGGATTCTGTCCCAGGTCAGTCTCCCAGAAGGGGGCGCCCCAAACCTACCTGGCCTGGCTCGGCTGCCCCAACTTGCCCGCAGCCCAGCCTACCGTACTGATGCCGGCGCCTGTGTAGACCACCAAGTATCTGGCATTCCGGACAGCGCTGGCCAGCTCCTGGACCTTTCTTCGCAGCTCCTCCGGGTCATCGCACACCTGCCAGGGGCCGGGGCTGGTCATTCTGCTCACCCCTCCCTCCGCCCCACCGCAGCTGCCAGACGACTTACCTCTTCCTGCCGCCGCTTCAGGCCCTCGCGCCGCCGATTTCGGCCCTGCAGCTCTGTCACTAGATCCTCACTCTCGGCCAGCAACCGGCCCTCCTCAGCACTGCGCTCCGCCGCCGCTTTCCTTAGGATGCGCGACACCTGCGGGCGAGCGCGCAGGCAGGTGGGTGAGCGATGGTGTAGACACTAGTACGCATGGGGACGGCGGCGGCCTACCTGGCGGAGACGCTCCCGCTGCTGTTCCTCCCGCAACCTTCGGACTCGCTCCGCCGCCTTACGCTCGGAGCGGCTCAGACCGCCGGCTGCCATCGCTCCCGAGACCGCTTCCGGCTTCCGCCTCACCCGGCAGGCACGAAAGCGCATGCGCGCGTCAGGTCTGCCCAGCCCTTTCCGGGCCCTCGCTCCGCGGTTTCCGGCCCCACACCCCGCGTAAAGCTCCAAATTAGCACTCGCTGATCTGTTTAAAAGGCGTTTATTGATCATATACAAAATAAAGAAAACCTTATATATCACAAACATACACTATATACAGCAATAAATACCCGGGAGGGTCAGGCTGAGCGCCGCTCCTCCTGGACAATAATTTAGCAATAAATACTGCGCAGGGCACAGGTGGGCAGAGGTGGCTGCCTACCAAGGCCAGGACCTTGGCCGCCCTACACTGGTGCAGGCTCCCAGGCCTTACCCCTCACAGCCCAAACCCACCCCGCCTCACTCAGATGATTCAAGGATCCCCGCCCCTCAGACCCCAGCAGATCCCAGGCTTCCCTGGCTTCAGCCCTCAGCTGAACTCTGCTTGGACACACCTTAAAGGAGACCGACAGAGTGAGACACGATAGCCCTTGTCCTGTTGCCCTAAATTACCAGGAGAAGGCTTTCTGTACCCACTCCCGTTCGGTTAAAGGCTTCAGGGACTAGCAGATGGAGGGAACAGGAGGAAGGGCAGGGCTGGGACATGAGGCTGCTGGTGGGGTTGAGAGCCCAACTAGGGTCACCAAAAACGGAGGTTCAACAGCTCACTGGGAACACTTACTCCATCTCAGACTGGAGGCACAACCATCGTAATGTGGATGGATGTTCCAGAGGTGTGGTAGAAGTGTATATGGCTGGCCCAGCAGGCACAGTACACGCCCAGGTCATGCAGGCCAGAAGCAGGGCAGGCCATAGGAAGATTGGGCACACCCCTGTCTCTGTGTGCCACTGATTATGCCCTCTGCTCTCCAAGACTGCTCCAAAACCAAAGAGCCAACAGGAAAGCAAAAACATGCCAAAAAGAATTATTCAGTGGCTTCTGGGGCAAAAAGTCGTTAATGTGTTGGTTCCTTTCACTAAACCACAGCCTAAAAAAGTAACTCACAAGATCCCAGAACGGAAATGGTGCAGCAGGCTGTGGCTCAGGCTTCCCAGCTGTGGATAGGAGCTCTGGCCAAGAGGCTACTCCAGAAAAGGCAGCAGGGATGTAGCCTGCTGTAGCCTATCAAAGCTGTAAGCCCAAGCACTGACCACTGAGGCTGCTGTTGACAGTCATAAGCAGGCATACAGACCTCAAGTGTGGCCCAACAGCAGCCTCTAGGGAGGCCTGTTGCCAGGAGAAAACCCTGCACACAACGCAGAGCGGCCACGGAGCACCTAAACTAATGGCAGCGCCACCCTGGAGCAGCAGCCAGGGACCACAGGGAGGGTACCCTGGGGCCATACTCTTTGGCAAGAGCTGACCTGTTCATGCTTAGTTTTTTTTCTCTGAAATCTGAGTGTACATTTCAAGATAGGAGAGGACGATAAGAGGCAAAGTCAAGATGGCAGGGAAGACACACATTAAGATTTACTTAGCGGACAAGTTTGGGAGACCTGGCCTTGGCCAAAGTTCTCAATTCGCTGTGTCAGAAAAGTTGAGAGATGAAAATAAACCACAATACCCTGACAGCAGGAAAACAGAATTAACAGGGATCAGAAAGACAGCTAACAGTTACACGTGGACATGGGATCTACTGTCGATAAATCAAGACGGCAGCAAAGGCGTGGAGTGGCCTGCGGGGCTGGCGAACCCCAACCCAAGGAACAACTGATTGCTCCACATCCAAAAACCATCAAAGGAAGCATGGCCTTATCAATTCTAGGAGCTTCTGTAAACTTAACAAAGACCTGCAACTTCTGTCAACATGCACACAGCCCCAGCCTCCTGTTACTAGTATATACCTGTGTGACCTGGGCTGCACCTGGAGGGCACCCTCACTGAGGTGCCACATGAGGTGCCTGTCCCTCCCTTCTTTAGGGATAAGCATGATCCAGTTCCACTTTCTACTGCTACAAAGCCAACACCAGCAACTCACATCTGGATTCCAATCAGATAACCCCATGGAGGGAGGGAATGCCAGTAGACACTTGTGCCTTTGCAGTAGCCTCAGGTACCAATGGGAGGGTCTGACTACCTTGAGCCAAAGGTGCCTGTCATGGCACCAGGGCCAACAGATGCTCAGCTCCCATCACATGGCATGCAGGTCAAACTCAAGAGAAAATCCTGCTGTCCATGAGGTGAAGGCTGGTCAGGACATTGTGTTTTTTCTCTCCAGCCTGTATTTCTGTGCTTTTCAGGGTCCAGGGCCCCCAGAGAAGATGCCAGCACCTCTGGCAAGAGGCCAAGGCCCATGTGGCTAGAGATCAGGCTGTAGCCTCTATCAGGTGGACACACAAACACCCACCCAGGCCACATGCCTATGAGGAGCGTCTCGTCCCAAGCCTGGAAGAAAACCAGGAGGCTCTGTCAGGGAGCTGGAAAGGACAGGCAGGAAGCACCTCAACAGGAAGCACCTCCAAGTTGAGCAGCAGGTCCCTGGAAGACACATTTCAAAAGGAGGCAGAAGGAGGTCCCAGAGCAAAGAGCTGCTAGTATGGACCAGAGGGGAAGAGACAGACCCAGGTTTAGAGTCACAGCCCTTGTCTGGCACTGGTGAAGCCACCTGGAGCCTCACAGTGAGGCAGGGGAGGAAGGGGCTGCCCTTAATGGGGTCCCTGACCAGTCTGCCTGGGAAGCATCATTTAGCATGGAAACAGTTTAGGATAAGTGAATGGTGGAACTTGAAACCCACAAGATGGGACCCTCAGGGTCCTGCCTGTGGCTCCTTATGAAGCCTATATGAACACAGCCAAGGCAGAAGGAAGACAGCCAAGGACAGTTAAGCCATGACCCTGTGGGCAACTACAGTGAATCCTTGGTCCCTGCATCACCACCACCCAGGGCCAGGGGTGGTGGATGTGGAAGCAGTGCGGGGACCCCAAATGGACCCTCAATTTCACCATACCCTGCTACAGGACCAGCCCAAGCTCCAAAAACACATGGAAAACCAAGGCTCAGCAGGGGAGGGAGTGGCAGATATCCATAGCAGACCAGTTAGGAACCGGGCAGGTGCTGAAAGCAGAAAAACTTGGGCTGCTAGGCACACACCCCGCCCAATATCCGATGGAGCAGGTGCTGCCTAAGACCCCAGCCTCGCTCAGGTCTGGCAAGCCAGCAGCAGAAGAATTACAACCAAATCCAAAAAACAAACACAGGAGAACACACAAGAAGGGACAGCCACAGGTCAAAGGTCACCAGAAGCACCAGCACTTCACGGCTGCACAAAACCTCACCAGGCACGGACAACACCACGGCACCACCACGGCACCGGCAAGAGACGGAAGCAGGAAGGGCAGAAGAGTAAGTCACTTTCGGTACAATTGCAAAAGATATCAAAGAGGGTGCCTCCGGTTGGCTCGCGGCTTGGCTTTTTTTTTTCTTTTTTTTCTTTTTTAAACTAAGTTTTATAAATAATGTCTGATAACTCTGTGTATATAAAAACTAAACTCCAACAGCCACAAAGAGTTGTCCGTAAGATAACAAGAAAGGGATTTTTTTTTCTTTTTTTTAAAAAAGCAAAGTTTCTATTATACTTTCTTCCCTTTTCCATTTATATGGTCAAATGTTGTTTTTTTTTTTTTAAGACAATTTTATAAATACTCTGCAGCTCTTTTTTTCTCTTTAGCTCTTAATAGCAAAGTTTATTATACTTTCTTCCCTTTTCCATTTATATGGTCAAATGTTGTTTTTTTTTTTTTAAGACAATTTTATAAATACTCTGCAGCTCTTTTTTTCTCTTTAGCTCTTAAACATATAATTTAATAACTTCGTAAAAGGAACTTCTCTTTTAAATAAAGGGCTATATAACCACACAAATAGGTCATGTAAACAGTGACACAGGACCCATCGCAGGACACACTGACACACCCTCCACACACACTCACAACCAGTGATTTGGTCTTATTCAGTGCACCGCATCAGGCCCAAGCGCTGTGGCCCCTGCCCCAGCACCCTCAGGGCCCAGGTTGGTGGCTCACCTGTCCAGGGACCTCGAGGGTATCCACTCTCACAGCAGAGCCCATCTCTTCCTGCTGGGCTGAGCTGAGTTGCCTGGCTGGGTCTGAAGAGAGAACCCCTCCAGTCCCATCCCAGCCCAGCAGTCTGTGGGGCCTACGGGCACGCAGGTAAGGAGGGCAGACCTGAGGCCTAGTGCGCTTGCTCACTTGCTCTCTCGGTCTCTCCCTTGTCCATTCCCACAGTGCTGACTCTGAACTCCTTGCCTGCGTGGCCTTGTTACAAGAGGGGTTGGGGCAACCCAACATCACTGCCAAACTGACCAATCCCAACGTACAAAACACACGCACGACAACGATGAGATCAAAGGGGTTCAGCCCAGTACCCCTGGGGTGCAGGTTGTGCTTTGCAGGGAAGGGAGGATGGGGGAGAGGAAGAGAGGAGGAAAGGAAGAAAAGAGGAAGATGAGGGACAGGGCTGCCAAATTTGCCATGCGCCTAGTGGCCCCTCAAAGAACCGCCCAGCAATCGCACACATCCCTACGACCGGGCGTCCGTCTTGGACTTTACTATTGTGATGACACTTGTGGCGGCCACCTTGCCAGGGACCAAGGGTCCCAGGCCGGCAGCAAGGGGGCCCCGAGCTGGAGCCACAGGGCTGCGGGCCACGGTCCTGGCGAAGTTCTGCAGGGCCTCATACTTGGAACGCAGGGCATCGAGCTCCAGCTTCATGCTGGCATTCTCAGAGGCCAGCTTTTCCACCTCCTGCTGCAGCTCCGCCTTCTGCTTCTCCAGCTCCTCCTTCTGTGTCACCCGCTTGACACGGCAGCTGGCTGCGTAGCCACGGTTCTTGAGAGTGCGCCGGCGCTGCTTCAGCTGGATGATCTCCTCCTTGGACAGGCCCCGTAGGTGCTGATTTAGCTCACGCACTGACATGGTCACCAGCTCCTCATCCGTCAGGCTGGTTCCATTCTCACCAGGCTCCCGCTTCACCTGGGTGGCATAACGCACAGGGTCATGGCAGAGCTGGGCACCCATCCCCACAATGTACTAGCCCCAGCTTCCCCATCCCTGGCAGCTCACCTTCAAGGCCTTGCTTCCTTTATTGGGAGTCGTCATAACCTGGGGGCACAGTGAGCAGGCACTCTGCAAGACACAGAGCGGTGGTCAGGACCTAGCAACCATCCCAGCCCTGCCCTTCCCAGGTCATGTGGGGACCTACACACTCCCTCTCACCCTGCCAGAGACCCTGCTGCCCAGCTGCCCAGCTCCCAGAGCCTTGGCCATCAAATGCCCATGCCCCTGATACCTGAGAACAGCCTTTGGGCCTTGCCTCTCCTCCAGGCTCCTCCACAGCCCTGCCCCTAGACAGCCAGGTGTGAGGTCAGGGAGACTGATGGGGGAAGGGGAACTGAAGGCTGTGAGGGAGGCAGGGGCTAGACAAAGGGGCAGGGAAGAGATTAGAGAAGCCTGGGAGGGGCAAGCTTGGAAGGAAGAAGAGCTTTAAAAATAACCCCAGTGCTGCCCCAGAGCGCACTGTTCTGGCGAGTCACGCTGACTCAGCACATCACCACCCTCACCCTTCCCCCCAACCATTCCTGAGGCCAGCAAACAGTGCCTCAGGAGAAGGGGCCAGCAGCAGGTGAGGGCCAGCCCGTGTATCCAGAGTCCTACCTCCTACAGCTGCCTCCCCTGAAGAGGCTTGAACAAAGCCCCTGCTTCCTCTAGGGTTTAAAGGCCTGTCCCCTGGAGATCAGGAGAGTACTGATTTCCCAGACTCCTGAAGTCGGAAATGGGTCTTCCAGCAAACTCTGGCTCCATCTGCATGCTGGTTGGGAGTCCCCACTTTCCAGGTGAAGTGATTCCAGAGAGGAGTTGACCTGAGGGCCCTCCAGACCTCCCTGTCCACCTCCTCCATGATGGAGTAACCATTCTGTGGCTTTGGGTTGCAGCATACTGTGCCCCTGCCCCACTCCACCCCAGCTGTTTCACAAGGGCCCCCACAATTATCCACTGGGGGTGGTGCTCAGCTTGAGGCAACCTGGAGTAAACCCCTCTGGATTACACTAATATTCTCTGGCTCCTGCCTGGGGTCCTCAGTACTCACAAGGACAGGAAGCCAAGAAAAAGGGCTGTCTCCCCTGTACTCAGATGCCCATGATATCCAAACCTCACCTTTTGCTCTCTGAAGCCCTGCCAAAGACTTCATCGGGCACCTAGTCCACAGAATCCCTATTTAGTCCAGCCCCACCAGACCTTTGGACAGGGACACCCCCTGCTCCATCCCCTCCTTTCCAGGTCAGCCTTAAGTGGCCAGAGTAAAAGGTGACCTGGAGTCCCCTCAGGAGGCCTCAGTCTCAAGCAATTGTGAGCTGTGGGGACAGTGTGTGTAGGGGGGTTCTGACCCTATCCAGGGAGCTAAAATACAGGACTGGAAGGTGGGAACATATGTTGCTAATAAGAGTACAGACCCCACCTTTTCTATCCTTGCACTAGGAAATGAGGCTGCAGGCAAAAAGCAAGCAGGGGAAGCCAGAGATACCTCCTCAGGAGTCAGGCCACCAAGAGCATCTCAGAAGAAAGATCCCTTCCAGATCAAAGATCAGGAAACTAGAGGTGGGAGTCAGAAAGTCTTCAGTGGATCTGTCCTAGCTGGCCCCAGACCCACCCTAGGAGGCAAGCCTCCTCAATATAATCTGGAAGAGCTCCGGGCCCTAAGCACAGATTTGGGAGCAGGGACACCGCTCTGGCTCAGGCTCTTCCCACCCCCTTCTCCCCCACTCTTACTGTTGAGCACAATGACAAGGGTGACCCCCTGAGATCATACGGAAAAGTGTGTGTGGCAGCTGGGAGCCGGATTTCACCCTCTGAAGGCCTGAACTCAGCACAAGTGCAGCCAATCGCCTCTAATCAAAGGTGTGTAACATGTGTGCTTGCATGTGTCGAGTGGGAGATAGGCCTCAGCAAACCCCATGCTCCACCTGCTTCATCCCTACCAACAGGGGATCACAAAGACTGGGCAGAAGAGGGGGACCCCTGTGATCAGGGAAAAGCTGCCTCCTTTTGGCCCTGTAGGCTGGTCAGGGCTGAGGCCAGGGCATCTTTCACCCTCTTATTTCCCACGCTTGAACCTGCCTCATAGAAGAGGCACAGATGGTTACAAAGGCCCCAAGCCACGAAGGGATTGTAGGCCACTCACTCAGGCTAAGAACCAGGGGCAACTCTATCTTCTCCCATGCAGCCCAGATTGACTGAGGCAGGTGAGATACAGGCTCTTGCTCTACCCTGGTCTGCAAACCTCAGTGGCTAAAACCCCAGAGAGGTATGGCTCATATGACCTGACGCCTCAAATTCCAGGTGAACCTCCTCCATAAGCTCTCAGTGATCCATTGACATTCTTCAAAAAGAATCTAAAACTTCATTTCTACCACAGCATACAGAACTGGAAGACTTAAAGAAATATCCCCCTGCTTTACCCTAGGGCTGTCTAAGAGAAACTTTTAGAACTTTCAATAACAAACAGCCAGCTATGCCATGAGTGCCATAGGTTCGCCACCCTTGTCCTAGGCCATACAATTAATTCCACCTCAGAGATGAGCGGAAGTGTGAACATCTTGGCACTTACAAACCCAGAACTTCGGTGGGGCTGGGTGGGAGGAGATGGGGAAAGTAACAGGGTTCTACAGGTTTGGAAGGCATCCTGAGGGCAAAGCCACAAGGTCAGTTTAAGGTAGACAGGAGCTGGGCAAGGGCTACAGTAGAGAAGGTGAGCACCTATCTACCTCTAAAACCCAACTAGGTCAGGAACCACCCGTATACTCTAAGGAAAGCTAATTGGGGCTGCAGGACGTGCAGGCTGTCAAATCCCCCCAAGACCCTCATGGCTGGTCACCCAGCAGGGCACACTTCTAAAGTCAGCAAACTTCTTGCAACACTGAAACTGCACACTGCAGGTGGAGACCACTCTGGGGTGATTGAGAACTACATCCTTCTACCTCGTGCCTGCACCCCGAGGCTCCCACCTGCTGTCTCGGTCGTCTGCTTCCCATTTGCCATTTCCCGGTAGGGCTGCTCCTGCTCCCTCCGTGCTACACACACTTCTGTCTACCACTGCCCCTCGGTCCTCTTCGCCCACCCCGGCCGGCCAGACCAGACACAGGGAAAGCCTGCTTCCCAGCCCGGCTGGTTCTGCCCACCTAAGCTCCTCCCCTTTTCTCCCTCGAAGAACTGTTTCCCAGTTTGGGGAACTGGACCAGTCGTGGGACCAAGGCCAGCTCCCTGGAAGGGATGCAAAGGCCTAGGCTTCACTTTCCACCCGGGAGAAAGTTAGAAGTCGGCCCGTGCTCTTCCTTGTCTCTGCCTCCAACTCGCAGCTCGGCCAAACTTAAAACGCGGCCCAGCGACCTCGCCGCCCAGCATCTTGCCCTCTGTTTCCCAGTTTGGGGAACTGGACCAGTCGTGGGACCAAGGCCAGCTCCCTGGAAGGGATGCAAAGGCCTAGGCTTCACTTTCCACCCGGGAGAAAGTTAGAAGTCGGCCCGTGCTCTTCCTTGTCTCTGCCTCCAACTCGCAGCTCGGCCAAACTTAAAACGCGGCCCAGCGACCTCGCCGCCCAGCATCTTGCCCTCTCCTCCGGC